TTAGATAAGGCTAATTGATCTCCACCTACACAGTGTATTAGTGAATTGTTGTGATCTACTCCTTCCACTGACTCTGCATAACTCCTACAGCCTCAGCACAATCTGACCCCTCAGGAGCAGCGCACATCCCTATAGAAATGATTTCATCATCTCTTTCTCCCTCTCTTTCTCCCTCTCCCTCTCTGTTTGTCTGCTGCTTCTTCTCCCCTCTTGTCTGCCATCCATAAACCTAATTCACCCCCCCCACCCTCCTTCCTTCTCCTCTTCAAAACCAGTTTGTGCTGATGTGGGGGTAAATGTAAGAGCTTACAGGTAGAGTGACCTGAACATCCCAAGGCTGGCTCGGTGGAGTTAGCTGACTGAACTCTTGGTGAGCAAAGGCCTGTGTATCAGTATTGTTTGTGTAAGAGCACCAGAGGGGATTTGGACAAGGAGTGTGAGCTCTGAATGTGTGACCCAGAGCTGGCCTTACTATTGGATTAGCTCACCCTGATCCCCACAACCTCCGAACATGCTCCCTACTATTTCAAGATCTCTCCATTTATGCCCAGCCAAGCACATTGTGACCAGTAATCTATAGTTTTCTTCTCTCCAAAGGGAGAAGATATACTGTTCAGCTTTTTGCTTCGCCCCTCGCCGCCCCTCCCTCTCGCCGAGTTTATCCACAGTTTTCTCTGTTTATTTTGCACTCGTTCTCTCTCTCTCTCTCTCTCTCTCTCCCACTTTCAGCGTCTCGGAACAAATTCCCTCCTTTCACCTCTCTAGTCTCGCCATTTGTTTTTCTCTCTCCCCTCATTCCTCTCCTCTCTAACTACCCCTCTCTCCTTCATTCCTCCTCGCCTTTCTAAAGGGGATCAGTAGAGCTTAGAGGCCTTCCTGCTTGGTTCATTACTGAGCTGCTCTGACATGGGGAGCTCGTATCTGTGGCAACACACACACACACACACACACACAAAAAAACACACTACTGATGTTTAATACATGGATCACTCTGTTGTCTTTTACGCCAGATAAATTCATCATCAAAAACTGAGCACAGAACAGCAACGGTGCATGTAGCCCTGCTCTCTCAATCTAGATTCCCAATCTTTCTTTCTTTTTGTTTTTTATTTTCTTGTCCTCACTCTCCATTTAACTTATTGCCTCTCGTTCTTGTTCTGCCTTTCTCTCTCTCTCTCTCTCTCTCTCTTTGTTCCGTCACATCTCAGTGATCTGGAGCAAACCTTTTCATTGTCCTTCAGTTGGAGTAAACATACAAACACAATGCAACAACCGCTGCTGGGCCCGCAACACAAAACAAGGCTCATGAAAAGAAAATTGACCTGCGCCGTTCAGCATATGTGCACACCGTGTGCGTGTAAATATGTAACCTATGCTGGGCATGTCCCTTTGTGTGCACACGTGTTCCCATTATCATGTACATCCAACTTCCTACTGTGTGTGTGAGTGTGTGTTCGCAGAGAAAAAGTGAGTATGTTTCAGAGCCGTATGGGTATGTATGCCTGTTTGTCCTCTCTGTGTGGGTGTGTGCGTGGGCGGCAGGCCTGCCTTGAAAATGCCAGAGCCTGTTTCTAATCCAGGCCTCCTCAGTGGGCTGTAGCTCTAGCTGTGCCAGGCAGGCCCTGCTGCAACACCAACAGAGCCCCAGCTGACAGCTAGCCTGCTCCTCTCTCTGCTTTCTGGACAATCTCTGAGCTGCAAACTTTAACAATGGGTTAAGCTGGGAAATGAGAAGAGCCATGAAGGACCATGAGAACTCAGCATTTGTGATTAGAATGGGTCTTATAAGATGAATAAAAAGAAGAAAAAAAAACATGATCCACAAGAGAAGATCAAATGACATGACAGTCACCAACGAAAAAAAAAAACACAACAAGGGGCGAATGTTAACGGGAGGCGGTGTTGGTAAAAGATTTAGGATGAAATCAAAGTGGTTAAAGCTGATTTATCCTGTGTAAGGACGGCGAAGCTCTCTAAGGAGACACCGAACAGCCCTTCAAAAATGAAATATCAGCAGCAGTCAGTGCCAGTCATCAGTGCCATGTGTGATGGAAAATCAATCTATTTCATATCAGAGACCTGTGAGGAGAAAATGAGAGAGACAGGTCCCTGCTGCCGCCTCGCTGTGCCTCTTTAAACGTCTCCCCAACAGAAACATCCCTGCGTCATCGGTGACGGAGACATTCGCAGTGCTGGTGGCTCAATGTGTAACGGCTGCTGTTCTGCTAGATTAGGTAGGTGATTGGCCATTAATATTCATTTCACAGTGTGTCTTTGTTAGGCGGCAGCAGGGGCTGACAGAGTGTTTGGATGGATTTACTCTACCGTATATATTTCCCTTTAATTTCTATAGGCAAGGTGGTTTCCTGGTATGGATTACCTAGAGGCTGAATGTACTGTAGTTCTTTTTTTTGGTCCTTCCTTTTTTTTCCATCAGTTTGTTCTTAATGTTCGACAAAGTGAACGCAAGGAAGAGCTCCGGAAAACTGCTCCAAGATGTCCGTGAGTCATCAAATATTTAGTGGAATTAGAAGAAAATGTTCTATTGTCTTCTTGTTTGAGCAGTGCAAAAATAACCAGGGGTGGAACTCTGGTGTCGTCTGGGCCTGTCTGGTCTTAATAACAGCAGAGAGTTCCTCCTGGAGGAGTCGAGGTCCAGCAGGCATAAAACCACAGTAACAGGTCTTTCCCTAATGGATGGCAACCTGGCGCAGGTGATCTGAACTGTCCTCTCCGTAATGAGATTAAGGGACTAATTAGTATGACTGTAGCGTGGCTGCGTGCACTGAGGAATATGTGGCCCCTATCGGACTAGCAGCGTGGCCCCTGAGAGAGCAGGCCAGACTGAGGTTGTCCCCGGCGTCCCTCCCCTCCCGCCGCACCGAGAGGCTAATTAATACTTTTTTGCATCCGCTCTTCCAGCTACCCGTGCACCATTCCCGAGTTATAAGTCCTGAAAGTTATTGATCTGGGTTTCTGGCAACACGAAGCGAACGAGGATCAGAATAACAAAAAATTTAATCTAGGCAGTTTTGACAGTTAAATATAGCAATAATTACAGGGCAAATAAGATTTACAGCAAATAAGATGCTAAAGCTTGTAAAAAAGTAGGACACGGAGAAGCATCCGCAGCTAAAGACAGCAGCAGATATGAAAACCTAAATTATCTTTGCCAATGATTATTAAAGAAGGAATTCAGGCCAGCAGATTAGAGGCAGAATGAGAACAGGAGTTTTTAAAAAATGACAATCCATCCATTCCCCCATCGCACATTCCCCGTCCCCCCACTTTCACTCCTGCCTCCTAACCCGTTAAAGTCACGCTTGTGTTTGATTGCCCCTGTGGCGGCACTCTGACCTGTTCATTTAAGATGATGTGCAACTCTCAGGTCTGTTCCAACACTCATTTGTTCCTCTGTGGGGTCCCCGCGGATGGCCAATAAGAGGACCCCATACTGACCAAAGTGCCCTGGGAGCTCTAAAACCGGCCACTCACAACCAAGTAAAGAGACAGCTGAGTGTCATTGTTAATGTGGACACACAGCACCACAATGGCAAAATCAATGGAGCTATAGGGGACATCAATCTTGACAGCACAAGACCCTTTTGCTTGTCTCACCACTCCTCTAAAGCTCTGAATGAATGGTTTAGAGAGGGACGGAGGACGAGAGAGAACTGAACGAGGAGTGTGGCAAATAGAAGAAAGAAAGAAAGAAAGAAAGAAAGAAAGAAAGAAAGAAAGAAAGAAAGAAAGAAAGAAAGAAAGAAAGAAAGAAAGAAAGAAAGGAAGGAAACATGGGGGACTGACAGTGATCTTTATTGGCCTTTCCTCCATTCATCTCAAGGGGTTATGCTGTCCTTTGAAGATTGTGTGCATCTGACAGGCGGCCAAGTGGCCAGCCATCCTAATTCACCCAAAACAGGCAGAGGTTTTTAGGTAAAGCCTCAGAAGTGCTGCACGGCAGCTGTATGCATTTGGCAACACTTTTGCATTTTCCCTGCCTGTTTTTCACTTCCAAATGTCTCTCTTTGCAGCGGGATGAGAAAGACTCGCCGAAAAACAGCATCTCTCCTTTTTAAAATAACAAAAAGGCACTTGCTTTATTACGGGGTGACACATGAGATGCAAAAAAAAAATAAAAAATAAGAAAAATAACAGCAAGGTTCATTGTCTCCGCCGCTGACTTGAGGGATGCCTCCTCATCCCATTAACATATATGCAGATAGGCAGCGAGTAAATGAAAGCCTCCAAAAACGGGAGAGATCAAAGACGACAGAATTAAGGCCAAGTAATGAGGATCTTGGCAAGAACCCTGCAAATTTATTGATTGTTTGGCAAGCTGTACATGCTCCTGCTCCATTTTTCCCTGCCTCTATACCATTTACTCTTGTGTTTCAAATGCACACACATCAAGCAGTGTGGGCTTTGACTGGCCCTTTTCTGTGGCTACAGTTCCAGTATTGAGCCTAATCACTATCTAATTTACAGTGCAATAATAATGTACTTGGAATAGGGAACAAGAAAAGAGAGATGGGCAGCAGGAAAAGCCCATCTCGGCCCTCCATCCCTTCAATGGCATATTGTGTAATCAATTATACCCGATACAAAAAAGCACAGGGAGGATGAGACTGTGACAGATTAATCCAGAAACCCAGAGGATTTGAACCAGTAAGGAATAAAAAAAAAAAAAAAGCTGCAAAATATATGTGGTACACACAAGCAGCTGAATTAAGAGGACATCGAATCTACTTGTGCATGTGGATATATGCATTTAGGTACATTAATTAAACTTTGTTTGTGAAGAGCAACATGAAAAAGAATTGGGATAAGACCAAAAAAAAAAGAGAGAGAGAGTGAAAAAAAGAGCGCTGGCTGAAGAAATATTGCATCGAGAGCAGTGGAACAGATGAGATCAGAGGGGAAGAATGAAAAGAATTAGCCTAGATAAGGCAGATGAAAAGAGGGACATGAATAAATGATGAAGAAAAGAAGACAACTACCTCCACGACTCTCGCTGTCAGCCGGTTTCACCTGGATGGGGCGAGTCATCTGCAGGGGAAAAAGAGAAAGAGCAAACGGAGAGGTTAGCGCTGGCGACTCGGGCTGTCGCTGCTACAACAAGAGGCCACAAAGCAGAGGTGTCAAAGCCCTCTCTCACATACTAATAGCTGCTCTGTGATACTGATCAAAGTGCCTTGGCTAGAGGGGGGGGAAACCAAAACACCATCATGCGGCTAAGTTGACTTGACACTGTAGTGTTTCTGGTGCCTGTTATTCAGTGTAAACAAAACAACCTAAGCTCTTATTCACACATAGAATGGGATGTATGTGTGCGTATTTGAGGGGAGAGGGGGGGTTTCATTGCAGCTGTGTTGGAGAGGTTGAAGGGCTGCATGTGTGTGTCTAAGTGAGAGAAGGCCAAGGCAGTCCTAATAAAAGTGAATCCAGCCACAGGAGGAGAGAGATCAATGCGGGCCTATTGATCCGGGCCCTTGGGCTGTGGAGAGTGTCTGGCTGGGAAGGATTCTCTGGTTAGGAGGCTCACTCTAATCCACTGGACCCTGATAAGAATGGCATTGCCTGGATTAGATGCCTCTGTCATCACAGCCTTTGTGTCACGCTCTCCTCCTTCCCCAATTTTACCTCCTCCTTTGTTTCATTATTGTTGTTCGAGCCCAGCAATTTTGCCAGACTTTGGCCCCGATTTGTTTGCAGGAGAAGTTTGAAAGATGTTGCTGCGATTTACAATATGTAGCAGCTGCAGCTTTTTTTTTTTTTTTTTTTAATTGAATATATGCCTCCCACGCACATACGGTTTATACACCCACCCACAGACACATATATGCATAAGACGTATTTATGTAGTGTAGCAGAGCATAAAGCTTATAAGATGATCTATGTGCACGGATCTGATGCCAGCACCCCACCCTCCTATGACTCAGTCAGAAAACAAATAGATTTGACAGGATACAAAACACCCACATTTTAATAAAGTTGGGTCCAAAAGCGGCCCGCAATTGGAACAAGATTACTGGAACATAAAAGCAACTTCATGCCACACTCATCTATTTACAGTAAACCATTTATAGCTGCTATTTGAGCACCTTTTTATTGTTTGGAGCCACTTGCCATCGCCGGACATCACCGAAAACCGCCCAGCACTGATATTTTTACAGCTACATATGTATATTTTGAACCATCGCACTGTCATGTATCTCTTTTTTTTTCCGTTCAATTCCAGAGCAGGGCTGAAAAGGTCAGATTTAAAGACAGGGCAGTCCAATAAAAGCATGACATGTTCAAGGAGAAACACCATAATGGGATTTTAAAATGTCTTAATAACATGCTGATATATGGGGGAGAGGCCCAGGCCCGATTCATTAAGTGCTAAATGTATCCATTTTCACCTTGAGGAACTGAGTAACCTTCCCTAGCTGAAATTATTCCATAAATTTACCCATCGTAAATAATAACTAGCAGCGGCTAAGTCTGTGTGGGAAAACAGGGAGGATGTTATGCTTGTGAAGGTTGAGGTTTCTGCTCCTTGTTTCTTGGGAGACTCCTCATCCTTCTCCCTCCCCATCTACAAGTGCTTTTCTTTTCCTTGTAAAACACGAGCAAAGTAACCCTACAGTATGCTAATGCCAAGCCACAGGGCGCAGCGCTCCACAGCGTGTACGGATAGATTACAGAATCAACCGCAATACTATCGCACACATGTTCAAAGCGCAACCTCTGAGACAGGAACACCTCCGAATCTGGGAGGGGGAGGAGGGGGGGGGGAAACATCGGCGAGACAAATTGACAGATAACTTTACAACCCTCTGCTCCTTCACAGCAACACAGGAAATCTTTGAATTTGCCTCTGACACGTCAAACGGACAAAAGACGCCGCGATGCTGCCAGTTGATTTTTGTTCAAATGCATGGTGGAGAAGGCCAAATCCGCGGCTGTGGCTCCTCCACCATGCTATGATCTCAGCCGTCTCCGCAGGGTGCCTGTGTGTGGGAGGCAGCTCTCTCTAAAGCTAGTTACTGTTCAGCCTCCAACATGCCAGCTTAATGGTCTATTTATTTGCCCGAGAGCAATGCATTATGGTCCTGAACAGTCACTGCTGATGGCTCTCAGTTTGTTAAACTTCCCTTGAACACATAAAGAAAATCGTGTAATTCCAGCAGCAATTAAGTGCACTTTGTACACTCGTAACCATATGCACGCTCACGCATGCACGGACAAGGTAGCTGTAAGTTAAATTTGCTTAGCGTTGCCAAGGAAACCATTCATTAACCGGGATACAGTGGGGCATCTTTTCCTACGACGTCCGTTATGGGTTGGCAGCTTCTTGACACGAAACCGAGCGAAACAGTAACTGATACCCTCTTTACGAATAACAAGTTTTTCATTGATCTGTTAATAAATAAAGGGCAGGTTTAAGTGAGGGAGGTGAGGCGGGATGGAAACGGAGGAGGACGAGGAGAAATGAAAGATTGCGGAAAAAAGACAGGAGATGGAGAAAAGGTGGGGGGGGGAGGTGAGAAAAGATACAGTGAGGGAGGAAGCATAAGATGCCTGCAACTCTCAGATAAGATTGTCTCTGTGCTGAGTGGCATTTCTACCGGTCGGACTCCACCTTCCTGCCTTTCACTTTCAAACACACACTGCAAAAGAAAAAAAGAAAAGAAAAGAAAAAAAAAAACCCAGAACATCTGCACTATACAAACACTGTGTATTTACAGTAGAAATTAACCACCTGCCTCTCTGCTAAAATCTACTGTTTGCATTTTGCGGGACATTAATTATAAATTTGCCAAATGATGAAAATGAGCTCTGAACATGAGGAGCTATTGGAAGAGAAATTTTAATTTGGTTGTCCTGATATTTTCGTTCCAAATTTGTCTACCTGAGGATGATGAGGACGGATTTAAGAAAAGAAAAAAAAAAAAAGAAGCCTTGGTTTCAATATAATTAAACATCATTCAGATTACAAAAGCTGTGGTTTGGTTTTTGCCAACCAAAACAAGTTTTTAATTTGTCTCCTTTACAGTATATGTAGTGATTCTCTCTAAGTTTTTTTTTTTTTTTGCATCGCACAATCTACGAGGGAAACATGCCGTCAAAAGTTTGAAAACTTTGCGTCTTCCAGAAGTTTTCCATTTTTCTAATTTACTTATGTCAACACTGTATAAAAGCAAACCTGCAGACCTCTAAGATCAAAGTTAAATAAAAAAAGAAGAAACAAAAATGAAAAGGAAAAAAAAAGTAATCTAAAAGTCAAGAAGAATAAAGCGTGGGGCCATGCATTTAAAACACTCCTTTGAGATATCTGTGCTGTCTCACATACTGGTAATATGCTATAAAATACTGTATACCGCCTTAAAGAAACACTTTCAGAGGACATTAGTGACATTCTTACAAATACAAAGCTTGCATTAGGTTCTTTTGAATCTCAAAGACCATAACTAGGTAGACATGAAAGTGAACTGAATGTGTTTGACTGAAATAAACAAGCTCCTCTGATGACTCAGAGCGACTCGGTGGCTTCGCGACCTTCAAATTAGCTGCTATTCTTTATCTCCCTCCTTTAGCAGAAAAAATACTGGAGGTTTTTTTTGTTTTGTTTTGTTTTGCCAGAACAAGGCCGGTCTTTTCTCTATTTCCCATTTCCACAAGCTGTGCTGCTCTGAGGGCTTTGACAAATCTATAGTTCCATATGCTTTTATTGAGCCGCCTCATTTGCCCAGTTAAGCCCGCAGTCAGTAGAATTAAAGCTCTTAGCACTAGTATGCTGCTGTTTTATACGAGGGGTCAGATAGAAACCCCGGGGCCTGCAGTACATAATGTAGTGTGCAATAGGCCTGGAATATACACGCAGAGCTGCTGTGTTCCCGTTCATCAATCTTCAAGATTGATTGTCAGCTCCGTTACTTAAACTACAAACCGATCCACCTAAATTAGACCAGTCTGAGGCCGACACATGACTTCACTTGTTTCTGACTTTATCGCACTTCCTGGTAAAGTTTTCTCTTTCTATTTAAACTCCTGCTGTTATTACAGACTAAGCTACAAGGCGCACCGAAGGCTCTGGGCTCCAGCCACAAAAGACATTCCACTGTCTGATTTCAAATTACACCGAGCAAGTGAAGGAAGTTTAGTCAGGACTTGGTCTGTTAGTTGTGTGGAGGATTTAGAGTCTACTGTTGGCACTATCTGCCACAGTAATGAGTTCATGACTAGTAGAGTTTAGCGGGATTGAGCAGTAGAGAGTCCCAGACTCACGCTGACACCCCAGAGAGGGCCAGTGGCAACGCAATAATAATGCTTTCAAAGACCTGGTGCAGTTCCAAGCCTCAAACTTTGCTTGTCTTTAACTTTCATATTATCCAAAAAAAGAAAAAAAAAAGAAAGAGAGAGGAGCCGCCACCACCACAGGAAAATGCAGTAAGTAAAAATAAAATTGCAGTAAATCTCATGTAGGAAGCTCATTCCTCAGTAGAAGTCCTTTAAAAACAGTTACGCAACCGCACTTACTTACAGTGCTGCAATAAAATAACTCTAATAGCCATACAATATGTGTGATGTCTGCTGGCTTTCATTCAGGTTTAATATAGAGTAATGTTTGTCCTGGGATCATTAATACGCATTAGTGGGCCATCAAAGCTCATATTGCTGCACTGCTCAGTAACAGGAGCATAAACAGCCCCCTTATGACTGGGCCATCTCAGCTGATATAATTAATATTTCCAATTATTGATCTGAGGGAGTGCTGAGTGGTGACTGTCCGGGGGCCCCGGCTCCTGCTAATAAATCTGTACTGTATACAGGAAGAGGGAGACGGAGTGCAGCAGAAACAGAGAGAGACAGTGAGCGAGGGGAGAATGATTTACAGTTATGAAGTGCTTTGTTGCAATCACAATAATTGTTTATTAACAATAAAAAAATTACAAATGGGAAATTGCATTTAAAAGGCTTGCTCAAGCTTGGTAATGAACTGTTTCTTAATATTCTAAATTAACTGGATATGAAGAAGCATCTCACCACTTTTGCATGAA